AATGATCCATCAGTTATCATAGATTTGTCCAGTGCATTGATGATTTCTAAGCCAATGAACAGACTGCCACTCCAGGGAGCCTGAAGGAGACATACTTGTCCTTACCCCTCTATTACACACAACTAAAAACACTGTTTACAACCTAAAATGACCCTGAAAAGTGGAGAGAAGGTTGCCTGAGGAGAAAAGGGACTGAAATGCAGACGAATTTTCTCTGTTTTCCCTTCACCTTGATTTTCACAGGGGTTAAAGGCCAAGGTGTGTTTTAATGATTGTCACAGATAGTCCTGAAGGCTTATCCTTGACCTTGGGATCTCAGAGCATTTACCAAGTGCTCCTTGTGGGTGTCATGAGACCAAGACTACAGTAAATGGAAGGGACAAAGAGTGTCCCACCTTCTAGGTCTTACAAGACAGTCTAGGGTATGGTACCAAAAAATAAGGAGATTGCTTCTTAGATGTCTGAGTTGCATCTGCCACCCATCTAAACTCCTGCACCAAGCAAGACATTAGTGCGTCCTCTCCTGTGTGGTAGCCAGAAGAATGGCCCCCAGCTGCCTCAATACAGAATCTTTTCCAATCACTGGTCTTCTGTCCCTGGAGGAATAAGGCACATTCACCATACGAAGAGGTAAGAGGAAATGTGGGTTCTTACATTTATAACCGCACTGGCTCATTGAGTTTAGAGTCAACAAAATGCTATTTTTTAGCACTATTAATTTCCATTTTTGTGCTGACTTAATAATCTTTTAAATTAACTTAATTACTTCTGAATGAAAAACGGTTCATTTTTAATAACTTCTGTGATTAGAAAAGTTATATACGTGTGTTGCTTAAAGTTCATAAAATAGGGACAAGTAAAAAAAGTATCAAAATTGACTTTAACCCCAATATCTAAAAGTATCCCCTATTAGCATTTTGGTTTTTTCCTTTCTTTCTATTGTATTAATGTTGTTGTTTTTCCGTGTGGGGGTGAAAATATGGTATATGTAAAGTATGGTGTTTCTTAGGGAGAAAGTGCTAATTTCTCCTCAGTTCCTTAGCAGATTCCTCTGGTCAGTTTGCATATGGGACAGCCATTGGCTCATAAACTGTGACAAGTAAACAAAATAAATATTGGGGCTTTCATAATGTTTTTCCCTGATTTAAATTTTTAAAAATCAAGTTAATATCTCCTTCTGGATTTTATTTTATCTTGTAGATTACAATTGCCCCCTAAAAGATACTATTACACCTGCTGTACAGATCTCATCAAGAAATCCTAAAAGTTCAATATCTAGGTCCTTTAAGATCAACTTGTTCCTATCTGTTTATCTAAAATTAGATTAAATAAATAGACAGATAACTAGGTAGATAAATATGACAACAGCAGAGTGATCTCTTCTCCAGTTATTTCTCTACACTGATTTTAAATCACATGGAGCTTGTTCAGCTACCACTAAGGCTTTCCACTGTGCGGAAGGCTCACCACTGGGGCCATCTCGCCCCAACAGCTAACTGCATTTCCCATTGCTCGTGTTCACTCTGCTTTCCATAACTAAATGAGCATGGCCGGAGGAGATTGTGAACAAACCTCGGCAGAGCAGCGTGATGAAGCAAAGACGCCACACCAGAAGTGGCCTCCAGTCACTCTCAGTGTGCTCCAAGCACAGATGTCTACTCTCAGCTACCAGACACCTGAGGGCGAAGCCTGGCCCCGGATTCACATGTAGGAGGGTTATCCAGGACAGAGTCTGGCACATGGCACCCTTTACTGGAAGAAATTTGATTAATAATTCTCATTACCTTTCAATTCTATGCACCTGAGCTCATTTACCCTCTGCCCAGAGCCAGCAGTCAGTGGCTGAAATGGCATGTGAACACCCAGATGGACCATGAGAAGCAGATGGAGATAGGATCCCGCAGCCCCCTGCTGTGGGGTCCTCTTAGGTCAGAGAGGTCATCCAGGCCTTGCAGCACCTCATCAAATCCCTCCATCCAGCCTCACGGGCCCCACGAGACAGTATCTCTGTGTGTATCCTGAGAACAGTTATTGTAGAATTCTAGGTACAAATCGCAAAAAGGGAGGGGGAATGGTGCCTACTAAGAACCAAGTTTCCCCTTACTAGGAAAAGGGACCAATAACATGACCACAAGCCAACAGAAAACGGGTAGCAAGGGTCTGCTAGGCAAGCAACGTCCACTGTTGTTAGCATATGGACATTTGGCCATTTCTCCTGAGTCTCCTATCTATTTACACATATTTCAGGCTCTTCCCAGGAATAACTATAACCACAGGACTTTCTGACATTGACTTGTAACCCTTAAACAGCTAGATCTCACATGGCTCAAGTCTCATTACAATATCACAGCTAAGGAAATACATTGGTTAATTTCTTTCCTTAAAGTTCTGGAAAACAAAAAAGGTCCCCCAAATACAGAGAAAAATGTATCACTCCCAAATATCCTCTTTTTCTATGTACATTTACACATTCCCTGGCTGTTCTGGAGTATTTCTATCCACCAGTTCACAAATCTCTCCCACTCCAGCTTACCCAATACTTGTCTTCACCCCCCTCTCTGCCCCCACTGTGGTTCCTTATATAGATCAAGGGGCGGCACAAAGTTATGAATAGACAATATGTTCTGATTGGCCAACAGCGATTTTTTAATTACGCCTTTTTTGAACTAATTACATATTTACATGCATGTTGTAAAACATGATATGGAGCAATCCCAAGTATCCTTTACTCAGTTTCCCCCAATGGTGACATCTTGCAAAACCTATAGTATAATATCACAACCAGAATATTGACAGTGATCCAGTCAAGATACAGCACGTTTCAAACACAAGGGTCCTTTTATAGCCAGTTGCACTGCCACCTCTCTCTCTCCCTGGCCATTGGAAACTACTAATCTGTTCCCCACTTCTATAATTTTATCATTTAAAGGATGTTATAGACATGGAATCACACAGTAAGCAACCGTTTGGGATTGGCTTTTTTCACTCAGCATAATTCTCTGGGGATACACCCAGGTTGCTGCATGTATCAGTAGTTTGTTCCCCTTTCATTACTGGAAAATATTCTATGGCATGGCTGTACCATGGTTTGTTTAATCATTCATTCATTGAAGGACATGTAGGTTATCTCCAGTTTTTGGCTATTAAAAAATAAAATCTATAAACAGTCTTGTACAGGCTTTTGTGTAAACACATCTCCATTTCTCTGAGATAAGTGGCCAGGACTGCCATTGCTGGGTCATATGGTCATTGCATGTTTAGCTTTTAAAAGAAATTACCAACTGTTTTCTAGAGTGGCTGCACCATTTCACATTGTCAGCAGTAATATATGTGACCCAGTGTCTCCAACTCTGCCAGCATTTGGTATGTCACTCTTTTTTATTTTAGCTATTCTGATAGGTATACAGTGATATCTTCTTGTGGCTTTAATTTACATTCCCCTAATGGCTAATGATGCTAAGCATCTTTTAATGAGTTTATTTGGCATTTGTAGAGCCATTCAATAAAATGTCTCTCCATTCCCTATAGGAGTGTTGTTTTTTTGGTATTTTACTGTTGAGTTTTGAGAGTCCTTTGTATGTTATAGATACTAATTCATTGCCAGGTATGTGGTTTGCAAATATTCTCTCCCATTCCACTTAATAGGATTTCTCACAAAGCAAAAGTTTTAATTTTCATGATGTTTAATGTATTATCTTTTTTCTTTTAGGGATTGTGTTTTTGGTATTAAGTCTAAGAACTTTTTGCTTAGCCCTAGCTCCTGAAGAAAATTTTCTAAAAATTTTATACTTTTACATTTTACATTTATGGTCTAATTTTCACATAAGTTGTGAAGCTTGGTTGAAGTTTTATTTTTTCCCTATGGCTATCAGTTGCTCCAGCACCATTTGTTGAAAAGGCTGTCTTTCCTCTATTGAACTGCTTGTGCACCTTTTTCAAAGATCAGTTGTGCATACCTGTGTGGCTCTGCTGCTGGGTTCTCCAGTGTAACCATTTAAACCTGAAGATTTCTTTTGGGGAGTTTTTAAATTATGGATTCAATCTCCTTAATATTTATATGTCTACTCATATCATCTAGTTCACATTGGCTAAGTTATGGTAGATTGTGTTTTCCAAGGAAGTGGTCACTTTTTCTAAGTTGTCAAATTTATATGTGTAGGGTTAATTTGTAGTATTGCCTTATTACCTTCTGTTGTCTATGGCGCCTGTACTGATATCTTCTATTTCATTTTTGATATTAGAAATTTGTGTCTTCCTTATTTTTCTTTATCATCCAAGTTAGAGGTTTGTCAATTTTGTTGACCATTTCAAGGAACCACTTCTTTTAGTTATTGATTTTCTAAGTTGCTTTTTTGTTTATAATTTTGCTCTAACCTTTATTCTTTCCTTTCTCTGCCTGTTTTCTCAGCACTGCTTTGTCTGTGTCCCACAAATTTGGATGCATTCTATTTTTATTTCTATTCAGTTTAATGGATTATTGAATTTCTTAAAACGTTCTCTCTGAGTCATGGGTTATTTCAAAGTATCTTGTTTAGTTTACAAGCACTTGGAGAATTTCCTGTTATCTTTCTGTTATTGATTTCTAGTTTGACTCCATTTTGGTTGGAACACACTCTGTATGATTTCAATTCTTTTAAATTTGTTGAGGTTTGTTTTATGGCCCCAGATGTAGTCTATCTTGGTATATAGTCCATGGACACTTGAAAAAATGTGCTTTCTGCTGTTGTTGGGTCAAGTTTTCTATAAAAGTCTAGTCTATCTTATGTTAATATAGCTACTCAAACTTTCTATTAATTTTGGCATGATGTCTCTTTTGTCATCATTTTTCTTTCATTCTGCCTATGCTAATATATTGGAAGTGAGTTTCTTGTCGATAGTATATAGTTGGATAATGTTTTTAATCCATCCTTCCAATCTCTGTCTTTTAATTGATGAATTTAGACCATTTACATTTATTTATATTTAATGGAATTATTGATACATTAAGGCTTAAGTCTAACATTTTATTGTTTTTCTCTGTTACATTTCTCTGTTTTCCATTTCCTGCCTTCATGTTGATTTGAATATTTTTAAAAAATTATATTTTGATTTTACCTATACAGTTTTGGAGCATACCTCTTTGTGTAGCTTCTTAAAATAGTTGCTCTAAATATTAGATTATATATGCATATCTTATCACAATCTAATAGTATCAGTATTTTATCAGTTCAAGTGAAGTACAGAAATCTTATCTTCCTTTACTCTCTAGTTTATTATATAATTGTCTTAAATATTTCTGTACTATATGGCTGGAATAGAGCAGTTATTTATAAAAATTTTCTGTCTTACTAAGCTTCCTCTTTCCTATTTGGGAGCTAGAGAGAATATGTTTTTCTTGGGGGCTTTTTTTATCTATGCCCATTGGTTAACTCCAAGTCTGGAATACAGGAGGCAAAAGATAATTCAGATAACCCACCATAGTATATTTCTTTGGGTCTCAAGGTCCTTGGCTAATTTGCCCTTTTTCTCTCCATCTTTCAGAGTCTTCTTAGTTTTATATACAATATCCAGGATTTTTAGTTATACTTAGTGGATAAAATAGGGACAAGTATGTCTACCCCATCTTCCTAAAAGTGGAAGTCCCTATGATAGTGTTTTTAAAATTAGAAAATCTCATACAAAAACAGATCTGTTACCGTTCTTGAAATATTGAGACATATGGCAATACTGGGTTTGCCTTATGCATTCCAACAATATTCTCTAGCTGAGTGGGAGCTGACCTGTTTATATGGAGTACACCACAACTGAAGCCATGACTCTTCATGGCATTACACCCAACTCACATCACTAATTTATTATCCTTAGCCTCTGTAAGAATTTGATTTTGCTACTTCCAATGATGCCTCCCTGGCTAAGCACACCCATTTCCCTCTTGCCACTGTAATTCTCTCTCTTTGGTCTTTCAATTCTGTTTCACAAAATTCCTAAGAACTGATTTAGCAGAGATGATATTATATTTAGGAAATTGTGTGTGTGTGAGTATAAGTGTGCACATATACATATGTGTGTGTTGAGGAAGAAGGGAGAAGTTGAACAGGAAGAAAGCAGAATTTGCACAGAGATTGAACTATATAGATTTAGCTTCAGTCATAAGAAGAAGGGAAAGCTATGAACACCTATCCATTAGTAAGCTCCTCTCACACCATTCCTACCTCAGAGCCATTGTAATTGCTGTTCCCCACCTGGAACGTTCTTCCTCAAAACTACGACACATACATTGCATTGCACTCAGGTCTCAGGTCAAATGCCACATAGACAGATCTTCTCTATCTATCTATCTATCTATCTATCTATCTATCTATCTATCTATCTATCTATCATCTATCTATCTATCTATCATCTATCTATCTCTCATCTATTTAAAATGCCTATCTAACATAGCACTTCTCTATTGCCAACACTTTCTATTCTTTACTGTATTTTTAAGCACTTAACATTACCTAAAAACACACTACATATTTATTTACTTGTTAATGCCCATATCTTTGAGGATGAAGAATTTGTCTGTCTTACTCATCATTGTAAGACAGACAAACTTCCTGGTACATAATAGGAGCTTAACAGTCATGTAATGAATGGATTCATCATATCCTGAAACATCTTAGCACTAACAAATTAGAAAGTGTTCAGCATATATAACCACAATAATGCTGAAAAACTGAGTGATGTGACATAGAAGATATTGAAAGATAGGATGATCATTCTCATAACTATTTGAGGATTTTTTTTATCGGAAGAGGGAATAGATAAATATTCCCCATGTCATTCCAAGTGGCACCGTTATAGTCAACTTGCAAAGAGACAAACTTGCCCCCACTAAAAAGAAGAATTTCCCAATAACTAGAAACTTCAACAATGAAATACAGTGAGTTCCCACTCACCAGAGCTGGTTAAGCTGAACTAGATAATCATCTTAAGGGACAATTGTAAAAGGCATCCTAACTCTGTCTGGGAATTTTGACTGGGCAACCTCCAAAGCCCCTGCCAACCCCACAATTCTAACATATTTTAAGGCAGATAGAGCTGGGCTTTCACTTTTCACAACTCCAGGAGTCACCATACACAGTATCACTGAGGTAGAGGCTTAGTTAGTTTAAGACAGTTAATTATAGAAAGTTTAGGAAATGTAAATCTATCAAAAAGGATTAAATCCCTGCTAGTATGAAATGTGAAATACTTGATTTTTACTTAAGAATGTGTTACAGTTTCAACCCAAGGACAGCTAGATATCTTTAGAAATCAGGACGGGAAATTTTTTATAATTATTTTAAAAATAAAGATATTTTCTCAATATGGCTTGGAGTTTTAAATGGTTAGTGTATTTAAGGCTATTTCCTCACAGATACTGTGACTTTGATGTGGGCAACTACTAATTGGTGATAGCGGCAATTACGGAAAGGACCTCTAATAAGCATCTTACAACATTGTACTGGTTATAGCATATTTTTATAGAAATTATAGTTTTTAGTCAACATGGATTTTAAAGATAATTATGAACTGTGTCACATGACATATTTTAAAGAATATACGTAAGGTTTAGAGAACTACAAACTCCTGGTTGTAATTTGAGATGCTCTCACTAACCCTTACTTTTAACAACCACTGGTTAATGAAGCTTTCCAATTTTAAGCAATAAACAACCATAAAACTCATACCACAGATTTCCTTGGAGGCAAAGCCCCTTAGGCATGTAAACTTACTTCTGGCTTAACCTACAGCACGTTAGCAGTTATTTCTCTAGCCTGATATGTGATCAAAGAATCTTAGGTATTTATATCTAATACTTACAGAATTACTTTGTAATTCTAATGTTCACTGTAGCTAAACACAATTCAGTATGTGGGAAGCCTTAGAACCACCAAAGATCCATTTTTACCACCCAGTCTCATGCTTACATGGGTTTCAAACTGTCCATCTTCTATTTCTCAAACCAACCATAAAAGCTCGACAACTCCATTCCTAACACTGAATAAAAGCAGGCAAGCATTCAAAGCCAACATGTTAGAAACGAATGTTGCAGATAGTATTCTGGTAGGTCAAGTTTGCAGTCTCCTTCAGCTCCAGCTAGAAGTCTGCAACAAGCAGGTCCTTTTCCTCCCATACTGATGATATGGTAAAGGTGGGTGACGAGTTCTCCCATCTGCCTTCTCAGTCCCACTTCAGAGGTTCTGCCAGGGATTCGGGAGGGCTCCATGTCCTGGGCCGAGGCACCAGTTACTCTCTTTCTCCTCGAATTTCCATCACTCCACCAGTTCCTCCTTCCCCTCCCACCCCCACACATTCTTCCTCTGCCATTGAATCACTACAAAGAAGGAAGAAAGGGCACTTTTTCTCTCTGTCCCACCCAGGAGATACACAATACACGTGCTGTCTCCACAAACAGCTGTGATTCGCAGGCATTGCAGAAAAGATACACAACCATATGGCTCTGTCCCTGGTTTACAGATTTCCGGTGAGTGTTGATATATTTAAAACACAGCTGTTTGGCATTAAGCTCTCCACACAGGTGGGATATCTGCTCATCAGAGCAAGAAGAGGACATTAAGGACCAAACAAAGGGCCATTCCTGTGGGCTGCTGCTGCAGTGTTGGTGACACATGCTTCACGGCTAAGTGCCTGAGGTTGCTGCTCCCTCCCCATCTCAGCCCTCCTGCTCCCAACCTACTGACCCCAGTCAAACACGCATCTCCACTGTGGAAGGCTGCCTCTGCCTGTGGACTTGGCATCCCTGACCTCTGATGTTTAATATACTCGAGGTAAAGTTCAGGATTTAAACAGGACAAGGTCACCGGGGTCTTGAGACCACATGCCAGTTTAGACACTTCCTCAGCAGGAAGTCCACAGCCATGGTCTTTTCACGAATATCTGATGGAAACTTTGGTGCCTTAACCCAGGATTAATTCATTATTCTACCTAAGCTCCCTGCCTTAATTATTCCAATTGGCCTCTTCTCATGTCTTCTGCATTATGATACACTGCCATCTATTTTTTATAACACTCATATTTTACCTAATTTTTTATGCAAGAGGATGAGAGAAAGAACTGTTCATTGGGAGGAAAAAACAGTTCAAAGTAAATATCTGAGTACCTACTACGTGTGAGTAGTTGTGCACAATGTTTTCAACATACCTTGTAGCCTTAATTTTTAGATGATCCCAAAGAACTCAACTCTAATAACATGCACAGCACCAATATCCTGCAAGTGATGAAACCAGAAATCAAATCCAGAACAGATTCTATGGAAACTACGCTTTCCTCTCTGCCGCGCTCTCTCATACTGTTGTGCGGCTCTGTAGGGTATAACTATGTTGCTGTGTGTGTGTTGCTATACTGATTAAGAGACAGGCTCTGAGGCCAGAATACCTAGTCATCACTCCCCATGACTTTAGACCAGTCAATCACCCTGCCTCCACTCCCTGTAAAACAGGGCATAACACTAGTGCCTCTCTTCCAAGGTTTCAGTGAGAATCAAATGTATTAACATAATTATAGCTTAGAACAATACCTGACACGTACTACGCACTATGAAAGGATTAATCATTTTTGTAAATCTGACTTTCTGGATGGTGTATAAGCTCTTTGAGAATCAGGGTGGTCTACTTTTTGTATTCACACTGGATCAAAAGTGGGTACTCTGCAGTTTGCTGTGTTTTTTTACTGACGGATTCCCTTCTCATTCTTTACAACACAATGCAGAAGGAGCTTCATCCATCAAGACCTTTATCTCTGAGCTTGTAAGCACTGTTTCTAAAGTTCACAGCTAAGTCCAGTCTTAGACATCTATTGATAACTGTGGTAGACCAGTGATTCTCACTCTTCCCATTACTTTCCTCTCCTTGGATGTAGATCGTAGACCTTTCGTAGGGCAATTGACGCTGCTCAAAGTATAAGGATGGTGTAAAGTCAAGATTTGCCCCTTAGCTTATTTATTTGCTCATTCATTCATTCATTCATTCATTCATTCACTTGACACTGTTTTCTTTTACTT